TTTCCCAACGTCATTCTATTATCTCAATCTTTCTCATTTTCTTCCACAGCAAATATTTTTCCTCTAGCTTGTAAAAAAATAGAATCCTCCACTACAATATCAAGTTGATTGAAAGGAAATATCCTTTTTTTTTGGCCTGTACCTGGGCTTCAACTTAGGACTCTGCTCTCAGCTTGCTTATTCACAACTGGGCCCTACAACTGGAGCCATGATCCATACCTCCACTCTGACTTTTTGAAGATAAGAGTTTCAGACGTTTCTGCTCAGGCTGGATTTGAACATCAATTCTACATGTCTCAGTCTCTTGAGTAGCTAGCATTACAGACATGTGCCTGGAAAATCTTATTCTTTTTTATAGCCGTAATTCTAGCTTTTACCTTATAGTAGTATCACTGAGAATTTCAAAGTAATCAGTGCTCAAGAAAAAGTATTTCCCAGTATTTGCCTTATAGTTGTATCACTGAGAATGTGAAAGTAATCTGTGCTTAATAAATGTATGTGGTTTGGGCAGGCAGGTAGGATTTCTTTTTAACTTAGAAAATTTGATCATTTCGTTACTGTCTAGTATAGCTACACAAAGCTTACAGATTTTCCTAGTCTCTGATCCAGTGAAAACTTAATAGTAGGTTTTACATAATCAGAAGTATCACACAGGGCAGACCTTGCAAAGATTCCTGTTCCTTCTGTTATTTTGATATTTAGCCAGGTGATAGCCCAATCACATTTGGGATGTTCATTATAGTGTAATTTTGAGTTATATGAATTACCTCGCAATTGCAAGCTGGAATATTGACTACGTAAGAAAATATTAAATATATAAAGCTTAAATTTATCTCAATACATTGCGTCATTTTGGCCTTTGCAGGCTAGATGTCTCCTTATCAGCGAATCATTTATGGTTTTGCCTATGAAGAAATTAAAACTAATCAATTGTTTTAATTGATACCAATTCCCATTTCTTAGGAGAAAGCTAGGACACTTCAAAGTACAAAAGTTAATTCTTCTGAGCAACAAGAAAATGGTTATATATTTAAACAAATGATGATCTCCATCTACCTCCAGACAGTACAAGATAGAACCTTTCCCCTTGGTCCTTGTCTTTTTCTATTTATTCTTTAAAAAATAAATGTGGGCCTGACCAGGAGGGCGTGCCTGTCTCCTGGGAGAGCCATGGAAAATATCGGGGTTGATTTGGCATTTGGGTTGCATAGTCCTATGTATGAGGAGGTGATTTGAGAGATGGTATAGAGGACATAGTTTCATCAAGAATCAGAATTCTGGAGTTGGAGGCATGGCTCAGTTGGTAGGAGCCAGCAGGTATGGAGTTCAAGTCCTAGTCTCAGGCAAAAAAGAAAAAAAAAAAGAATCTACATCCTTGGTATATTATGACAAAATGGTTATGCAGAAGAGCATTGCTTTACTTTTCATATGAAGATTCCAACAGAACTCAATGACACACATGCCACTCTGATATAGGCTTACAACTCTTACCATTTTGAATTTAAAAGAAAAAATACCTTGGTGTCGCTGTATTTGATTCCAGTGCCCTGCTTCTTGTACATACATTTTTCTAATTTGGGGAGGGGAAGAGAAATAACAAAATGGTGAAACAAGGATACAGGTTGACCCACTGTAACAATGAGATGTACAAGATACTATGTTGAAAATGAACTTTACAACTTGTGGGGGGAGGGGGGAAAGGGAGGAGGTGGGGAAGTAAGGGGTGATAGGGGAAAAACAAAGGATAGGGTAACAATGCTCAATAGGAAATGTACTTGTTACCTTACTCATGTAACTGTAACCCCTCTGTACAATATCTTTAAAAAATATTAAAAAATACAAGAAGGATCAAGAAAATGAGTGCTGGAAATATAGAAGACTAGAAACAGCTGGGTGCCAGAGGCTCACACCTACAATCCTAGCTACTCAGGAGGTTGAAATGTGAGGATTGAGGTTTGAAACCAGGAAAGTCTCTTATCTCTAATAAACTACTCTGAAAAAGCTGGAAGTGGTGTCGTGGCCCAAGTGGTAGAGCACTAGCCTTGAGCAAAAGAGCTCAGGGACAACATCCAAGCCCCAGGACTGGCAAAAAAAAAAAAAGAATAGAAACAGTGGAGTACAATATCAAAAGAAAAAGAAAGCAAACTTACTTTGCAAATACAAGTAAAAAGTATAAAAAGCAAAGAAAGGGTGATGATTTCTTATGCAAATATTTGGTCCAAAAGTGGAGAAAGAACTGGAAAGTAGAGAAAAGCCTGGGTGAATCTGAGGTTAAGCAAAGGACACATATGTAGCATAAGTTCTAAGGATTGGAAGAAAAGAGAAGGTCTAGAATAAACTGGGGGGGGGGGGCATTAGGCTCCAGTTGTCCTTGGGAATTTGCAGTGAGGAATGTGACTATTATCCTGTAGAAGAGGAAATAGGCCTGGCTGAAAATGGGATGTGACTACCAGGACAGATATTGTAAAAGATGAAATAATCACATTATAGGCACTGGAGAGCTTCAGGGTACATCTTGTAATGAACTTGCTCAGGAGTTATGAAAATGACTGCCAGATGTTCCTCACTCAAGACAACTTGAGGCACGATGACCCAGAAAGTCCATATGGTAGCAAAGGCAAACGCTTAATTAGATGTAGCACTTCTAACTGCACAAATCCATACTCCCAAAGGGAAAGAGGTTAATTGTAATGCATATATTTAGAGGGTGACTTTCCCAATGCAGCAGCCACAAGAGAGGCTAAAACAGGCTTCTCTTGTAACAGTGACTGTCTTTGTGATGGTTAGTTGTATGGAGTATTTTTAAGTTCACTCTGAAAAATACATTCAATTTTTTTATATACTGCTATAGAGGCAAGGAATGAACCTGGGTCCTTCCGTAAGCTAATAGGAAAGCTCACTTGCATAATTGTATCATTTACCAGAAAAATGATGGTAGTAAGTTGTGGCAGATATTCAAAACATCCTCAGTAAAACTTGGTGAAGACCTTTTCTTTAATGCTTAATTTTAATTTGATTTTATTTTTTGCCAGTCGTGGAACTTGAACTCAGGGCCTGAGCACTGTCCCTGAGCTTCTTTTGCTCATGGCTAGCACTTTACCACTCTACCTCAGCACTACTTCTCACTTTTTCTGTTTATGTGGTACTGAGAAATTGAACCCAGGGCTCCACACATGGCTAGGCAAGCACTCTACCCCTAAGCCACATTCCCAGCCATAATGCTTAAATTTTAAACCTGGAAATTGGTGTCAACAGGATCATGCAAAGTCAAAGTTACATCTGATTATTAGTCAAGGGTTTAAAATTTTTTACTTAAAAGGGAATGAGATCACACTGTGTGTGTGTGTGTTACCTTCTTCCTCTCCTTATGCACTTCTTGAAATAATGGGTTCCTGAATGACACAAACTTTGTACCTTAGCAGAGAAATGACCCAAACCTTTAACTGGTGACTGGCAAGATGGGTAGTCATGGGGACTGTGACCCAATATAGAGTCAAATTGTGCTTCTTAGTCATTTTGTAGTATGTTGTTGTTACTATGAGAAGTTCCTGGGAAGATTAGACTTCACCTGCCATTTAAGTCAGTGTGGAAAGACTCATTTGTTCCTTGTATATTGTGTTTGAACACATTTTGTGATGCATTTCTATATTCATGCACTTTATAACAATAGACATCAAATTATTGATTTATATAATAATGTGGAATTGAGGTAATAATGTGGAATTGAGGTAATAATGTGGAATTGAGGTACAAACTTTGGCTTTTATTCTGAAACCCTTATTCTGAATTTTTTCTAGCATTTAGATCATGACGATTGATATTAGCCCAGAATACGAAGGAGGTCAGAAAGAATATAAGATTCTTTCTCCCTTCCCCCCCTCTATTTTTCTTCTCTCCTTCCTTCTCTTTCTGTCTGCATGTCTTTTTTCTTTTTCTCTCCTTCTCTTTAGTTTTTTTACTTTTTATTTTCTTCTCTAGTTCTTTCTCAATCTCCTTTTCTCTTCAGATTTAACACATTTCTTTTACTTGCATGAGAATTTACAGTGACCTCTTGTCACAGTCATAAATATGCAGTCCATATTAGAATTTTCTTTAAAAAAATTCTCTGTGTATACTTGTTCATAAATAAGTCTTAAGGTAATTCAGTTTGCACAGGAAATGAATAATGCTGGTATGTTTCTTTCTCAAACCTCAGTTCCCTTATCCACAAGGAGAATTTGGACTCAATTACTGTATTCTGTGACTGTTAACACAAGCTACTAAATCACCTAAGCCTTGAAATTTCTTCTGAAGTATTGCTGTAACAACTCAGTTATTTATTCCAGTGGCTTGTTTCGAATGGTAGTTTCTCAGTTGGAGAAGCAGTCCAAAGTCATTTTGAGCTCCGTTAAACTCTTTGCTTTATAGAGCTGTGATTACTTTGGTGTCCTAATTAAATGGCCAGATCTCACTGTTACATCTTGCTGAAGAAGTCACAAAGCAATAAAAAGCAGTATTAGGGTGATGGATGAGCAGGGCTTGTTTATTTTGCCATCTAATATTGTCTATAGTGTTTAGGACAGGCAAATCGCCTTCATGGCACAGGGTATACTTTCTGTAACAGGTAATGAGAAAAAAGATTATTAAATGAAGAGTGCATGCTTGGATTTTGAGAGCAGCCTCCCAGTGAAACAGAAATTCGATCAACATTCCATGTTCTCTGTTACTATAGAAGCAGAGACTCTCCCAGCTGTTTACACTTTTGATGTAAAATGGCAATTTGACATAGACGAACAGTATGATGTGAGCATTTGCGTAAAAGGGCTACATGTGGAGCATGCCCAGTTCCTGGGGAGTAAGTCCTCCTCCTCCTTCCTCTCTCCCTCCTCCACCCTCCCCCTCCAGATCTCTAAAGATAAGGCTTGAACTTTGCACTTGCAAATACCGCTGCCTATATTTTCTGCACTTCTGCTTTTTTAAAGATCTCCTCACAATTCATTTCCGACAAGAATCCAGGAGATGGGAAGAGAATGTTCAAGGAAATAAGGTGCATTAAGTTTAGAACGAGTTGATACCGGTCTTTGAATGCACTTGAGGTGTTCTTTATTTTGAAAGCATTCCAGGGTGTGCTGCTTTTTTTTTTTTTTTCCTCTCCCCCACCCCTTTTCTCCTTGGAATGGGAAAATAAGAATCTGCCTGGATGAGAGGCTTCTGGGGCAAGAATTGAACACCGGGGAGGCAGCAGGGGACAGAAGAGGGGCTTGCCTGGAGCATGGATGGGAAAGGTGCTGGCATTCTCCAGGGCTCGGTTCAAGCTGAGAATCTGTGCCCGGGGCTGCAGCTGCGGATGAGAAAGGCGCTGTCTGGCTAATGAAGGCCACCTGGATCAGATTTCTGAAAAGAGCCAAGGGAGGAAGGCTGAGGAATTCTGAGATCTGTGTAAGTGCAAAGGGCTTCCATTCCCGGAGACGTGGTTTGCTTTTGCTTTGCTGTTGTTGCAGTGTGTGCTGATGGAGAGGGTGGTTTGTTTTAGTTAATATCCTCCTGATTGTAAGGCAGTGAGAGAGAGAGAGAGATTCCTATAATTTTTTTCCCCCAGTTCCTTCTGCATTGTGATTTCTTGCCAAATGAGATCGCTCACGCAGGTGTTTGCTGTAGGCTGCTCTGGTTAAATATCCATGCACAGGTATTTTTAAATGTGTTGCTCAAAGACGGGAATGGAGCTGGCTGCTAGCGCCTTACAGTGCGGTGGGAGAAGGTAGCAGGTGGAGAAAAAGGTAAGGAAGGATTATTGTGATTATGGGGAGGGATGATCACAGCAGTGACATTTTTGCAGAGTTCAAATTGCTAACCCCTCACAGCCCCGCTTCTGTGTGCATTTTGGTAGGTTGGTGTGTCTTTCCTGTGGTCCATACTTGCTTTAGAATGGAGATTGTTTCTGAGACTATCCTTGAAAGCCATCTGTGCCCTTCAGCTTGTTCAGCATTGCAGTACCAAGCTGATTGCATTCTAAAACACTTGTTCTGCGTTCCCGTTTGTCTCGTTGTCTTGGAAGAGAAACCTTGGGCAGGAATGAGAACTTGGTAGGTTCAGCTACCCTAGGGAATGGCCTTCAAGGCAAACAAAGAAAGCAGGTTTTGGTAAGTGGGTCACTGCAAAAATAAATCAATAAATAAATAATCCATTTTGTCTCTTTTCAGGAATTGATAGAACAATCCAGGAAGCAAGTTGCCAGGCCAATGAGAGTTTTCCGAGGCACACATCATGGATTGAGTTTGTATTGAACTATATGTTTTTCCTCTGCAGGGTTCGGCAGACTCCTACACCAGCCGTCCATCCGATTCAGATGTGTCTCTGGAGGAGGACCGTGAGGCAGTGCGCAGAGAGGCAGAGCGGCAGGCCCAGGCCCAGTTGGAAAAGGCAAAGGTAAGCCCTTTTCTGGCTTCCCAGGGCCTTTCTTTGAGAGGCAGGTGGGGCTGGGCTGGCGATGGGCTACCTGTGGAAGTGTCTCCTGAAGCTTGGATTTTGCTCTGTCAGAGCCGAGCATTACCTGGTTTCAAAAGGTACAGTGAATAGAATCGTTTCTTCCAGTGGCTTAAAATAAAAAAGGAAGTGTAGTGTGTAACCATGGATTTTTACTTTTATGCTCTTTCATAATCTAGGCAGCTTCTTTCCAAGGGCAGCTGGTTTATTTAGACCAGACAAAAGGATCTCTTAAGTATACAAAAAGAAAAGCTACATCTCATATCAAAATATTTATTTCATTTTCCTAGTTAACCCTGTTTTAAAAAAAATAACCCACCAAATTTCCTATAAACTAATGTTTATTTTCTTAGCCTTCAACAGTCTTTTCCTACAAATTTAACCCCATTACGTATTTTTTAATGGTTTCTTTTAAATTAAAAAAAATAAGTATATGTTGTAACAATGGATTTTATTTTATTTATTTTTTTGTTGGTCACGGGGCTTGAACTCTGGGCCTGGGCACTGCCCCTCAGCTCTTCAGCTCAAGGCTAGTACTCTACCACTTGAGCTACAGTGCTGCTTCTGGTTTTCTGGTGGTTTATTGGCGATAGGAGTCTCATGGACTTTCCTGCCTGGGCTGGCTTTGAACCTGGATCCTCAGATCTCAGCCTCCTGAATAGCTAGGATTACAGGCGTGAGCCACCGGCGCCCAGCAACAATGGATTTTATTAATCCTTAAAAAGTCCCTCCCCTTGGAATTGTTTCTTCTTTATGGAATTATACTAAAGTGAGGAAAGGAAAAGGAAACTGGAAACTAGATAGGAAGTTGAGGAAGAATTTATTTCAGGCTGAATTTCATTTCATTATGAAATGATGATTTAAGTCATGCATCCACTTGAATGTAAACTATTTCTAAAGAGTAGATGATTGTCCACATTTAAGGGACCTGAGTTTGTCAAACTACGGCTTTGGAATTGAGTTAAGTGGTATGTTGATCTTATTAGAAAAATTAAGGTAGTATTACAAGGTCCCTGTTAGCTGTTGCATCTCTGAGTGAAATCTGTGTGGGTTGCTATGGGAATCCTGCCTTGGAATTTGGTATCAAAAGCTTGGATAGCCTTTATACAACACTCATGACCCCTCGGCCCAGACCTTGACTTCTCAAAAGCACAACACTGCTGTCCATCAAGACAATCATCTCACTTCGGCTGGTGGGAAAATCTCCAGGTCTGACAGTCTTAACTGGGGACAACGGTGACAGTGGGTACAGGCCAGGCCAGGTGGGATTCTGCTGCTTTCAAAACCATCCACCTGCCAAAAATCATCATTCCAAACACTGAAAGTGCAGATCAATCACATTAACTAATGAGTCTAGTAAAGGGAATCGCCCCAGATTTGTACAGGAGAAAGTGCGTTTTCTAACTGAGAATGCAAAATTCTGCTAACTTGAAGGGGTGGATGGGGATACAAGAGTGGGGGGGAGGATGGAAGGGGTGCATTGCCAAGATGCTTTGTGCTCACAAACTGATGTGTTAAATTGAAGCCCCTTTTTGCAACATGTAAAGATGAGAGAGAATGGGGGGGCGGGGAGAGAAAGAGAGGGAGGGAGAGAAAGAATGAATGAAAATCCTATATTCCGTATTTTATACCTGGATGTAAAGAAAAGTCATGGGGAAAAAAATAGCAGCTTGTATTCCAGAAATACGATTGTTCTATTTGTAGCTAATTTATTCATGTGATTCTCACCCAAATCAAACAGTTGCTTCAATTCCTATCTTGTCATCATGTAACCCAGTGTGTTAAAGATTTGCTTTTCCAATCTTCAGTTATTTAAATGGAGCATCCCCTCCCCCCCACCATGATAGTGTGCTCTAATTCATGGATTAAGTGGCATAACTTGAGAGAACTTTTAAATCTTGCAACCTAGTGTGGCTTAAAATGTTGTTCCTAAACCAGACCATGCTGCCTTAAAAGCTTACAGATAGGGATGGGAAGGTGGCTCAGTGGTAGAGTGCTTGCCTTGCATGCATGAGATCCTGGGTTTGATTCCTCAGCACCACCTAAGCAGAAAAAAACCAGAAGTAGTGTTGTGGCTCAAGTGGTAGAGAGCTAGCCTTGAGCTGAAGAGCTGAGGGACAGTGCCCAGGCCCAGAGTATTTTGCCTTCACTTAAAATTTTCCTCTTGCTCACTCATGTTCTATGTAATTTGCATCTGTAAAGTTTTTTTTTTTTTTTTTCCGGTCAGTTGTAGGGCCTGAACTCAGGGCCTGGGCACTGTCCCTGAGTTTTTGTTTGCTCAAGGCTGGTGCTCTATCACTTGAGCCATAGCTCCACCTTTGGGGGACATTCATTTTGTTTTTTAATTGGGTCATTGCCTTAAACTTTTGATGTATGCAAATGAGTATGTGAGGATTTGAATATGATATGCAAGAAGATAAAGGATTAAGATTTAAGTTATTTTATGTTAAAATTATGACTTAGTAGAGATGGCTTATTCCAATATTTTGAGGAAAAATACAAAAGAAGGGTTTTAGATGTCTAGTTCTTCATTAGGTTGAATTAATCTGTTCTCCTTTGACAGAATGTCATCAGACATCTGTTGTTACTGGGACCTATTTCAAAACAAAACCTTGAGGTTTAAAAACAGGAATTCATTGCTTAAATAGTTTAATCAATTTGTATTTCCATTTGGGAATAATCAAATGTTTCCTACAGTACAAAATACTGTACAGTACAAAGACGTTATAAGTTAGTGTTTTTACTCACCCTAAAGATCCAGTGTCATGAGTCTGTGCAAACACCTGGTAGAGACTGCAGCTGTGATTTGCGGTTCTGATCTCATAGAAAGATGAACTCCATTATCCATTAATTGCCTTAATAATAGCTCTATGAAATAAGGTAATTGGCAAGTAGAGAAACTAGAGACACTCACTGCCTTTTGAAATTAAATGACCTACAAAAGGTTATATAACAAGGCACACTGTGCTGCCAGTAAACCCCCAGAACTCTTCACTACCACTTTGCTACGGCCTCTCTTAAACTGGTACAATGAAGAGAGTTCAGAGGCAATATAGAGGCAAATAATCAACTGGTATGACCTTGTTTGTGAACTTGGCATTTTCTGATCTCATATATGTATCCTGATCTGGTTCAGTGTGGAAAACCTAGACACCATCCTTCCTTAACATTGTGTCCTGTGATATTACTTGAAAGTTTTATGAAATTCATTTATGCCCACAATGATCTTTTTGGTAAACGCAACTGTATCTCAATAAACTCTCTCCTTTCACAGTGGGTAGGGCAGTGGTTTTTTTCATGTGTTCATGGCTATGCAACCATGTCTGGTCAAATTTTGTTGTTGTTGTTATTATTCCCTGGAGAAATCCCAACTCCATGGAAAATGGTTATTCTCCCTACTTATCTCCATCAACCCTAGAAACCCGCTGGTCACCTTCTTTAGATTTTTCTCTTCTAGACATTGCATTTATTAAAAAGAACCATAACGTAGTTGGGTCCTCTGTGAGTATTGTCTAAATCCCTTTTTTGTTTCAGTTGTGGCAGTACTAAGGTTTGAGTTCCGTTCTTGCCAGGCAAGCTCTACCACTTGAGCCAGAATCCCAATCCTCTTTGTTTGGGTTATCTTTTAACATAGAGTCTCCCTATCTGGTCTTGCCAGCTTAAACTGTGATTCGCCTATTTATTTCCCATGCTATTGGAATAACAGGTGTGTGTGACTGTGCTTCCCTAGTATGCATCATTCCATCACCTAGAGCCTTTGAGATGGAGTCTCAGGAATTTTGCTGTCATTGACTTAGCCTGCCTTTGATGGTGATGTCCCTATCTGTGTCTCCCAATTAGCTAGGATTACAAGTGTAGGCCTCTGTACCTGGTAGTTATACATTTTTTATGTTTATGCTACATTATGTATCAGAAAGTACATTTTTTACTGCCCAGTAATATTCCATTGTTTATATATTCCATATTCTATTTATTCTATTTATTTATATAGTTGCCAGTTGGTGGACATTGGAGTGATTTCTATATTTTAGGTATTGTGGGTAGTGTTCTTATCTGCATTTATATAGAAGTTTGTTTGCATATGTTCTGATTTCTCATGTGCAAATATGTAGAACTGAAATTAGAAAATCAAATGATCACCTTGTATTTTAATTGTAAATACAATTTTCTTTATGCCCTTCTCAAAAATGTGCCTTTCTTTCTATTTTATATTCAGAGGTTGTGAGATGGGAAATCTACATACAGAGATAAAATGGGTTGTGTACTGTTTTTAGTAGAATTGATTGTTAAATATTTGTGTGTGTATGTGTGTGTGTGTGCTTGTACATGCACATGCACGTGTAATCCAGTCCTGGGGCTTGAACTCTGGGCCTTCTTGCTGTCCCTAAGCTTTTTTGCTCAAGACTAGCACTCTACCACTGGAGCCACAACTCCACTTCCAGGTTTTTATTTTGGTAGTTAATTAGAGATAAGAATCTTGTGGACTTTCCATGATTCTCAGGTCTCAGCCTCTTAAGTGGCTAAGATTACAGCCATGAGCCACCAACCCCTGGCTGATTGTTGTATTTTAAGCCTTTTTTTCAATCATTGAATATCTAGTATACTAAAGACATTGTACTTACTATAGTTGGAATGTGGTAAGGTCAGACAAAAATTAGAAAGCAGTATAAGTGAAGGAAGTGAAGGTTGGAAAGTGAAGGCCAAGAAGTGAAATCAGTGGAAGTGGGGGCCAGGGTAAGAAAACATGGCACTTTCCAGAAGAAAAAAAATAAAGGTTAATTTTTAAGAGCTTGCCAGCTAGATAGTCTACCTTCACATTCAACTAAGACTTTAGATGGATGAAATTTGGAAGAGCAAAAACCATTCCCTAAGATTTGAAATAGGATGACTTTTTAAAATATTATTCATATTATTAGAAAGGTGCTGTACAGAGAAGCTACAGT